TTTTTTTTTTTTTGCCTCTCCTCCTCCCGATATTGCGCAGATTCCCTTCGTCAATTAAAATTAATGAAAGCTGACCCACCGGCTCGCTGCGGGCAGGCTCTGCCTCTGACAGGCCGCGATACTTTGTTCCGATCCCGAGGCTCGATCCCGCGCTGGTAATTAATCTATTATTTCGTTGCGATTCACTGTTCTGACGAGTGGATAGTTTGGCAGTCGTCCGTTCAACCGGACGTTCAGCGCGTTGGATATTTCGAATTAGGCAATTCGCGTTAATTATCGGACGATCCGAGTGTTATTGTAGAATTTTCGATGACGGCGCAAATATTGCTTTCACTTTCCATTTCTTCCTCTACAACATAGAAAGTTTCGTTAAAGTCTGCTGCACGAATGGCAAGTAGTACGTAACAATTCAAATCAGAAAATTTCAATTATTTGAATCATTTGATTGTTCAATTATTTCAACGATGATTTGTAATTATTGGATGACTGAAATTTATAATGTGTCTTATTTAACTCTGTGTCGTCATATTGAAGATTTCGTTAAAATATGTTTCAAGAACGGGACACACTTTGTTCAAGTAGTACACGTCAGTTTAAATCAGACAATTAATTTGTGGATGATGGATATTACTTTTTGTTTCACTCTCTATCATGTAGAGGATTTTATTAAAATCTGTTGCACGAGCGGGATGTACTCTGGTTAAGTAATACATATCAAAACAAGTCAAGCAATGTGACAACAATATATAACTTACAGTAAATATCATTTTAGAAATCCTAAAGATGTTGTACTACTTCATATGTCAATATGTAAGGTGCAGCAATTTAACAACCTTAAATTATTCAACACACACGCTTGAACGGTGATCGATTACTTCTTCATTTCATCGGCAACAAGTATCAAATTTCCATTAAACGCTGGCGCAATTACCGTTACATCGTGCTCAATTCCACGTCTCATTTCGAAAGAAGATCATCGACTCCCTCCATCCGATAGCCATTAACAAACTCCGCAACATCCGATACATTTACTCATTCCTCGATTCACTATCGTCTCCTCGCACACTCTGCTCAAACAACGAAACCTTTCGGCTGATCCGCTGAAAGCGGGTGGAAACTTCAAAGCAAAGAAGACCTCCATCGACGAAAGATAACGCCGTGGGGTGAACCGAGCGGCACGCCGGCCTCTATCGTGAGATCCGGGACTCGATTCCACGGCAGAAGCGCGGAATTCCCCACGAGTGGACGTTACACTTCCGGTGTATCCTATACGATCCACGTTCCGATCCAGATAGACGCTCGTGTGCATGTGCCGCACAAAGCGGCACGAGAGAGAATCTCTCTCCATGGAAATATTTCAGCTGGTTCGGTCGTCGAGCACTATCATACAGGCGGCATGCCCGCATGTAAACAATAGACCGGGCGAAACCCACTGAAAGCGTTTGCGGTTAATTAGGCAGCAATGCTGTTAACAATGTCCTGGCTTCGTCCCTCTCTTCCACCCCTTCTCCACGCCCTCTTCCCGCCAACCTCTGTCTCTCATCTCTTCCCAGCCCGTTTTCGTCTATCCTGTCTCACAGATCTTCAGCCAGTGAAATTCCCCGCAACGCAAGCCACCCCAGGATTCGTCCGAA